GATGGCCATCAAAGTGCCCCCTGTTAAAGCAGCGGCACCAATGATGCCTCCACGCTTCCACTTAGCCCATGTATTCGTAGGAGACTGAGCATTTTCACCCTCCATTTCACCAGACTTCTGAAGGGCCATGGCAGAGCATGCGATCATTGTCTCAATTGCTTCCTAGAAGTTGAATATCCATAAATATCCATAATGATTTAAAATACGATATTCTCATTAAATAAACAACTGCCTGATCAAAACAAAAAACGAAGGAAATTAGAACATAGATCGTGGCAGATGAAAAAGTATAGGAATTTAGAGACGTGCCAATTCCATATCCTACCCCAGAGCAAGATAGCTAAATGGTAACAACCATAATACTATGTAAAAGCATCAAATTTCACGATGAGCTACTGATTGAAGAAATAACTATACGAACCACTTTAATCCACTCAATGTTAAACCAGGTCGCAAGTAACCGGAGGGCAACGCGGTGACGCGCATCATAGCCTTTTCTACGCCGAGTACATTTCTTAACCTCTTGATGTTTATCTGACAAACATGCAGAAAGAAGCTCATAAAGAACGTTTATCTTCCTCTGATGACTAAGCAATGTTACTTCCTCAACAGATTTGTCATCTTCAACAACTTCAGGCTTGTGGCTTCCATCTATAATAACTACACCCGTTTCAAGACTCTCTGTTTCAGCAGTTTCCTTCTTGTCCTTATCCGAATCCTCATCTTTTGATTTTACCTCAGGAACAGCATATTTCTCACGGCATTCGTTTTCGTATTCCTGATGCTTCTCCTTCTTAGCATCTACAGACAAAGAGCTTTGAATGCTATGAACCATAGCATCAGCAGCTTTAGCTAAAGCCATCTCTTGCTCCATCATCTCGGCAGAAGCATCACTCGCTTCTTCTGAGAGTAACCTCGTGAACTGCAATAGATCAAAAAACAGAAAGTTTATGAACAATATAGCTCATCAAAGCTAATCGGATCCATAACACCAAAATTCAGACTCCAGAACAGCCATACCGCACCGATGTGGTGCTTAGCCGGGGAAGAATTAGCTGTTTCCTCGAGACCAAGCCAAGCAGAGGGCTGAATATCAAGACACCTGTGGATAGAAACAAATTAAAACACACAGGGAAAGCGAATCATAGCTTCAATCAAAAACATAGAAGGTTTCAGTTTATTTCTCAGAAATGAACTCCTAAAATAGACGACAACAATACCGGATTTTGGGAGATCACCTGAAAACTGGTCGAAGAAGCCCCGACTTCTCGTGTACCCAGAGGCCTGGGTCATCGGAGACAGAATCTCCACTACTAGAATTGCTTTTTCGATCCTCGGAACGACGATTTTCACACTCTTCGTCGTCGTCTTTCGCCGCCGGGATACCCAGCGGCTGAGTCTGGTTGATTTGCGCTTGGTTGAGCGCGATCGCGAACAATGCGCCGGCCGCATATCTCTGCGTCGGCGTCAAATTCGACGTAGCATCCACCATCGAACGGAGCAAAAACAAACGTTTTCTTCACCGATCAGCCAGACAAAAATGAAAGCGAAGAAATCGTTGGAAGTCAGATCACCGTCAAATTTCGAAATGCCGAGAAAGGTGAATCCGTGACAATGGATGAGTCACCGGTTTTGATTTTCCTCCCGGTCAAGTAGCGGAGTTACATCTGTCCTCACTCTGTTGACTCATTACACAAACGACGTCGTCACAAGTCAAACAGCCCAAAATTTTAAATCTCAATTCAAAATAAAACGCTCCGTTGCCGGGACTCGAACCCGGGTCTCTCGGGTGAGAGCCGAGTATCCTAACCAGCTAGACTACAACGGATTTGTGTTCTATAACATAAAATATTTTATATGACAAATTATAATTTGAACTTAGCTTCGTGAGACAGAGAACCTTCAGTGTAAGCTTCATCAACCTACATGCAGTGCGTGTAACTGACATACATCTCAGTTTACACAGATACAAGTTTGCATTGCAACATACATATGTTTTTATTTATTTGTTGAAATCAACAACAAATGTCATGATTATACGTGTAAACTCTAAAGTCAGACTCTACATGGAACTCCTAAGCACTCCACGACACTCGGAGAGCCACAAGTCGATGTGTTCTACTATATGTTGTCTCACTTTGTTCACCGCATCTGGTGAACTGCAATTCTTGGAATCACCTGAAAAATGAGAAGAAAAAGGACATCACGTATTTTCAACTGTTGTTTCTCAGTTCAGGCATTGGAAAAAAACGAGAGGAGAGGCAGGTAATATATACCTTCAATGATCATCGGCGATTGAGGGCATCCTCGAAGATCACTTCCATGGCCACAGTTGTGACAATTCACGATGTAAGAAGGCACTGTGTCGTCGTCGAGCGTTAAAATTGTTAATGTTTCGAAGACAATATTTTTCTGAATGGCTACTTTACGTCAATAGATTATGCGTGGTTAATGTTAATCAAAGAAAGCGGAGACTTACGGTCAGGAGATGAAGTCTGCTTGGATGCATGACGCCATGGATCTTGTGACCCATTTGTGAAGATGATTTTGGTTGCTGCAAAATTGAGAACAAGAAGATCCGAAAAAACTGTTGGAATGTTTTAAAAGAGTAGAGAGGAGCATCGAAAAGTTTTTGGTGTTACATACCAGCAATTCTATCACCTCCATAGTACAGATTTGTTGCATCGACTTCAGGGTAAACACCTTTCCCAAAGAGACTCTTGCATAGATCCAAATGATAACTATGAAAGATACCAAGAAATGTAAGCGGGAAGATCAAAAGAAACGATAAACAAGAGTTAAGCTAGTGACTATGTGTACTCTGTATTGATTTGATGAGACCGGATGCTATCGTTTGCAGGTGCCACCTGGAAATACGCCACTTCAGTACAAACTTGGAACCACCAAAGCCGATCTGAACTCTCTGGGGTGACCGCAGTGTCTAGCAGATGATTCCGGCTATATGTCTTAGCGCTTAGTCCAAAAACTCCCACGCAAAACTCTCTAAAATATTTAGCATATGCTTCCTGCATTTGCACACACAAAATAATGTGTCAAATATTTGGTCTTCAAAGCAAATTGCTGTGATCATAATAGTTATACACCAAGCTTAAGCAAAAGAGGGAGAAAGGGAAAGTTACCACTAAATCACCACCGTTTTTCTTAGCTTCCACGAGTGGAACACATAGTTTATCTGGGTTTCCGTATTGGATCTGCCAAACTTTGAGGATAAATATCTAAAACTAGAAAGAAAATGAGAATCATATATATATGAAAACACGTATGTATATCCTTACCGCCATAACTTCTGCGTCCGCTATCAAGTATAAGAAATCAGCATCGACATTGAGCTGCAGATTACAGACACTTAATCAGAGTGGAGACAAGAATTTTTACTTCCACAAATGTTAAGAATCAAAGAAGAGAAAAGAGAAACAGCAAAACTAGACCTCGGTGGCATTGAAGAGAGCTTTCACAGCCTTGTTATTTACTTTAAGCGTTAGTTCCAAGAGTTTATTAGTCTCCTGTAGAGCCGCTTTACATTCCGGTCCAGCCGACTCACCTATCTGCTCAATAAGGCACAAAAATCTTGATTCAATAAGCAACTAAACTCTATACATGAAAAGACACAACATGTCTTCACGTAAGTTTACTCTTGTAACGAAGGTTTTACCTGTTGATCAAATTCAGGGAATTCGTAGACAGCACGAACAACCGCGGAACTAGCGAGGCTTCCACAGGTCAAATGAGGAAATTTAAGCCGGAACCAAGCACTCAAAGCTCCAGAATAAGACGCACCGAAGAAGAACCAAGGATTATCAACAGTGCCACTTCTATTCAACTTGGCATTCAAAGACTCCTGCATCCACACAAAAATCACAGTTAGATGGTCAGTGAATTATATAGACGCAGTTCTATAGCACAAAAACAGCAAGACTTGCCTGGTAATATTCACGGAAAGCAGCTAAATCGAAAAGGGCCTGTTTAGAGGAAAGATATTTGAGATTCTCTGTGGCCAATGAGTTAAAAGGTGAGCTCTTTCCGTAGTAACGATGCTCGAGTGATACAATGCCCGCTTCAAACTTCTTTGCTAACACCTAAAAACATGTTTATGAGGAAAAGCGATGCAAATTTTAGAAACTATCGATGGTATGAGCAAGATTATCATATGAATAGGTTTTATGAAAAATCTTTACACTTAGATAGTCATTGGGGATTCCGTTACAAGGGCCTTCGCCACAGATCAACAGAAAGATAGGTCCGTCTGGAACTCGTAAATGGTCGAGATATTCGTAGTATCGCTGACTGAATTTGCGATGATCCTGAGGTTAAACAAAAATCGAATACCACAATTTAGAGCATAAACCCAGATAAGTACTATTTATGGAGCTTCGCAGCAAAATCAGGATCATATTAAAGGAATCTAAAAAGTTTCCCCTTTGACTCGGGTTTCTCAAATTCGATAACGCAAGAAAAAAGGAAATTCAAATCGAACAAGTAACGAAATCGGGAAGATTGATTACGTGTGGAGAGTAGTGGTCTAGGGTTTGATTGAACCAGAGCTCATCCGTCGTCAAGTACTTCCCGCTTGCGGACAAGCCATGAGATATCCTACGAGGTTGCAGTAATCCATGAGACAAGGTCGAGTATGACAAAATCACCGTGAGTAGAGCAAGTAATCCAATCTCCGACGACATTTCTCGCCGTGAAAATTGATCTCCGGAAGTTTAAAGGCTTAATTTACTCTAAAGCAAATGGATAAAAAGAAAAAAGGAAAAAGAAACCAAGGACAACAAAATGATGATTTTCTCTGTTTTTTATTTATTTAACTTGCAAGGACAATATTAATGATTAGAAAAATGTTTCCGGAATTTATAACAAAAATCAATTTTTTATACGCATGGATTATAGTGCGGACTTCAAATGGATTTCAAATTATTTGAAGAAAACAGATTTTATATTTTGTTTCGACTTTGCCGTCAAAAAGGTTTCGACTTCTTCTTCTTTAAAACTTTAACTTTACTCTTTTTTAGCTCTCTCTCAGTGACGGTTTTCAGTCTTTCTCTCTCTCCAAGAATCACACTCATGGCGACACTTCTCTCACCTTCATCTTCTTCAACCTAGTTTTCATTTTGTTCACTACAACGGATCTATGGCCATGGGAACATCCCTGTTCTTCCTTTTCCTGGTGATTTACGCGCCGTTATTCTCACGCGCCGATGATTCTCAGCCCGAGATTGACGCCCTCACGGCGTTTAAGCTTAACCTCCATGACCCTCTTGGTGCGTTATCTTCTTGGGATCCTTCCACTCCGGCGGCTCCATGTGACTGGCGCGGCGTCGGCTGTACTAACCACCGTGTCACCGAGATCCGCCTTCCTCGTCTCCAGCTCTCCGGACGAATCTCCGATCGTATTTTCGGCCTCCGCATGTTACGTAAGCTCAGCCTCCGATCAAACTCCTTCAACGGCACTATCCCTCCTTCACTCGCTTACTGCACGCGCCTACTCTCCGTCTTCCTCCAGTACAACTCACTCTCCGGGAAACTACCTGCGGCGATGAGGAATCTCACATCGCTTGAGGTCTTTAATGTCGCCGGAAACCGTCTCTCCGGGGAGATCTCCGTCGGTTTACCATCGAGTCTCAAGTTCCTCGACATTTCCTCGAACGCCTTCTCTGGTCAGATACCGAGTGGACTTGCTAACTTGACTCAGCTCCAGCTCCTGAACCTCTCCTACAATCAGTTAACCGGCGAGATTCCGGCGAGTCTCGGAAGTCTTCAGAGCCTCCAGTATCTCTGGCTAGATTTCAACCTCTTGCAAGGAACGTTACCGTCCGCGATCTCAAACTGCTCCTCCCTCGTCCACCTAAGCGCGTCGGAGAACGAAATCGGCGGCGTGATTCCCGCCGCGTTCGGCGGTCTTCCTAACCTCGAGGTTCTCTCGCTCTCCAGCAACAACCTCTCCGGTACTGTGCCGTTTTCTCTCTTTTGCAACACTTCGCTTAGGATTGTTCAGTTAAATTTCAATGCTTTCTCGGATATCGTACGGCCTGAGACGGCTAGCTGCCGTACCGGTTTACAGGTCTTGGATCTCCGGGAAAATCGAATCTCCGGCCGTTTTCCGATGTGGTTAACGAACATTTTGTCGCTAACGAAACTTGATGTTTCCGGAAACTTATTTTCCGGTGAGATTCCTCCGGAAGTCGGTAACTTGAAGAGGTTAGAAGAGCTGAAGTTGGCTAATAACTCTCTTACGGGTGAGATTCCTATTGAGATTAAGCAATGTAGCTCGTTAGGGCTCCTAGATTTCGAAGGAAACCGATTAACAGGGCAGATTCCGGAGTTTTTAGGGTACATGAAGGCTTTAAAGGTCTTATCTTTAGGCAGAAACAGCTTCTCAGGCTATGTTCCTTCATCTATGGTGAATCTGCAGCAGCTTGATCGGCTTAACTTAGGTGAAAACAACTTGAATGGGAGATTTCCGGTTGAGTTGATGGCCTTGACGAATCTGTCTGAGCTAGATCTCAGCGGAAACCGGTTTTCAGGGGAAGTTCCAGTGAGTATCAGCAACTTAAGTAACCTCAGTTTTCTGAATTTGAGTGGGAATGGATTCTCTGGTGAGATACCAGCTAGTGTAGGCAATCTGTTTAAGCTTACATCTATTGATTTAAGCAAGCAGAATTTGTCTGGTGAGATTCCTGTTGAGCTCTCTGGTTTGCCCAATTTGCAAGTGATTGCGTTGCAGGAAAACAATATCTCTGGGGTTGTACCTGAAGGGTTTAGTAGCTTGGTGAGTTTAAGGTATCTGAACCTTAGCTCTAACTCGTTCTCTGGTCAGATTCCGCAGACTTTTGGGTTTCTTCGGTTGTTGGTTTCTCTGTCACTGTCTGATAATCACATCTCTGGATCTATTCCACCTGAAATTGGAAACTGCTCTGCTCTTGAAGTTCTCGAGTTAAGATCGAACCGGCTAATGGGTCATATTCCAGCTGATCTCTCTCGTCTTTCGCGTCTGAAAATGCTTGACTTGGGACGTAACAACATGTCAAGTGAAATCCCACCACAAATCTCTGAGTGCTCGTCCCTCGACTCGTTGTCGCTTGACCACAATCATCTTTCAGGAGTCATACCTGGATCTTTGTCTGTGTTATCGAACTTGACGAAGCTTGATCTCTCTGTTAATAACTTAACCGGGGAGATTCCAGCTAGCCTCGCCCTTATTTCCAGTAACTTGAAATACTTCAACGTCTCAAGCAACAACCTTAAAGGAGAGATCCCAGCTTCTTTAGGGTCAAGAATCAACAACACATCGGATTTTTCTGGTAATACAGAACTCTGCGGGAAGCCTTTAAACAGAAAATGCGAACGCAACACAGCGGAAGAGAGGAAAAAGAAGAGGAAAATGATTCTGATGATAGTAATGGCTGCGATAGGTGCTTTCCTTTTATCACTCTTCTGCTGCTTCTACATTTACACTCTCTTGAAATGGAGAAAGAAGCTGAAACAACAGTCTGCAACGGGAGAGAAGAAACGAAGCCCTGGTAGAACAAGCGCAGGAAGTAGAGTGCGTAGCAGCACGAGCCGGTCAAGCACAGAAAACGGAGAACCAAAGCTAGTGATGTTCAACAACAAGATCACTCTAGCTGAAACAATAGAAGCAACAAGACAGTTCGATGAAGAAAACGTACTTAGCAGAACCAGATACGGATTGCTATTCAAAGCCAACTACAACGATGGAATGGTTCTCTCCATCCGCCGCTTACCCAATGGCTCACTCCTAAACGAGAACTTGTTCAAAAAAGAAGCCGAGTTCCTCGGTAAAGTCAAGCACAGAAACATCACGGTACTTAGAGGTTACTACGCCGGTCCACCAGATTTAAGGCTTTTGGTATATGACTACATGCCAAACGGAAACTTATCTACTCTGCTTCAAGAAGCTTCCCACCAAGATGGTCATGTCCTAAACTGGCCAATGCGACACCTCATTGCTCTCGGGATCGCTCGTGGACTCGGTTTCCTCCATCAATCCAACATGGTAAGACATTTCTAAAACACATTCTACACTAAACATAACTTTCAGTTTTCTTTTTATAACATCTAATTATCCAAATTAGGTTCATGGTGATATCAAGCCACAGAATGTACTATTCGACGCCGACTTCGAAGCCCATTTATCTGATTTCGGGCTAGATCGTCTCACAGTTCGATCACCATCAAGAACAGCGGTCACATCAGCCACCGTAGGGACACTAGGATACGTTTCCCCAGAAGCCACATCAACCGGAGAAATCACAAGAGAATCCGACATCTACAGCTTTGGTATTGTCCTACTCGAGATCTTAACCGGGAAAAGACCGGTAATGTTCACGCAAGACGAGGATATAGTGAAGTGGGTGAAGAAACAGCTTCAGAGAGGCCAAGTGACGGAGCTGCTGGAGCCGGGTCTACTTGAACTTGACCCGGAATCATCGGAGTGGGAAGAGTTCTTATTAGGAATAAAAGTCGGACTTCTTTGTACTGCGACGGATCCTCTTGACCGACCAACAATGTCCGACATTGTGTTCATGCTTGAAGGCTGTCGTGTTGGCCCTGAAGTTCCTTCCTCTGCCGATCAACCCTCACCGGCCTAACCGTATTTCCTTTTTTTTTTGTTTTTGTCCGTTCAAATTTGAATTTTTTAGCTCCCCAAACAAAAAAACAAGGAAGTAATTTTAAAAAAATTCAACATAATTATTGGTCTTTGTAGCTTCTTTAATGTCTTTATTGTGGTCTACGAAGTCTTTGTTTGGACCCAGAACTCGAATTAAACTGTTGTTTCAGCTCGAGTGGCCCACTAGAGATTTTCATAATCGCTTTTTTTTTTGTTTAGTCAACGTACACTCCAGGGACTTTATGTATGTGGGACCGCTTCAATGAAGTTATGTTTTCGCGCCAAAGAGAGTTTAATTACGCTATATATATATATATATAGTTGGGTTGGGTGAATAAGCACAAAAATGGAGGGGAAAAAACATCATTCAACCAATAATTTTATCATTTACAAGGAAAACAAATCATTAAAGCGGGATTGGATTTTTAAACTTGGTTTAATCAAGCCACACTCGTTTTGGGGTAAGACTGAGAGATGAGAAGGAGACAAGAGAGCAGGATTATTGGTGGGTGGGGCCCGTTCTTTGTCACGTGCCAATAGTTTGCCGATTCTGAATATGCCCGTTGAGCCACTGATGTCGTCACGTGCTTAGCCTAAAGTTTCGTACACCCTGGCATTATTTGACTCTGCTCCGGTCAGTTTTGCACGTGGAAACGTCCAAGTTCATGTGGTGCATCTGTGTTCGTTCTATCTAATTACGAACCAAACATTGAAATGATCCAGGAATTTAGAAATCTGCTAATTACGGAAACCACAATGGTTTAGTTTTTTTTTCTTCTAATTACAGAGTTTTAAATTGCTCTCTTCATTTCAAAACTCGATTCTCCCTTGTTTAAATTGAATTCGTATATACAATATACCACCTAATTGTTTGAAGTAATATATTGTCTAAATGAATTCTTTTTCCTATTTTTTTCCTACCATTATAAATGTTAGGATTTAGTAAAGGTTTTGATGATTTATAAGTACTCGACTAGAACTTGGATCAATCCACTATGATTCTGAATTTCTGACTCAAAGCAACAGCTTCCCCTTGGATTTAAAACCCCTATCAATCACGAGGCCCTTATTGCGTTTATATAAAATTAATGGGCCTATATTGGGTCGAATCTCAGGCCTCCATTCAAAAATTCGGCCATCATATGTTTTGTGATCTCAGATAACTTTAAACCATTTTGACAAAAAAAAAAAAAAGATAACTTTAAACCATCAATCACAAATCCCTGATTTAGCACTGTAGATTCCATGAATTAATGAAAAAGGAAAACCATTAACCAATAGAATCTTATTATATGCCATTGTGATGATTACGAAAATATAATGATTTTTCATTATGTTCGGAAGATGTAATAGAAACTTTGAAAGAGTATTCGACCAAAAAAAAAAACTTTGAAAGAGTATTCAACCACACGTTCATTTTCCAGCCAATGACTTCTTGACCAACGTATATATATCCAATTAATCTACAGTATTATTATTACGAAATAAATGGGCCCAATGAAGTGGTGATTTATCGCGTAGGTGGACTATCCGCAATCAGTCAATCACCACTACTTGTCAGTTGTCACTTGAACCCAAGAACGCTAGAGTTATATTACCCGGAACAAAGAACACTCGTGACATATTCGTGTTTTTTTTTTCTTTTTCTTTTTTAATAAATTTATGAAATGGTAAAACATAAACCACGACTACTAAAAAATTTGGATTTCAAAGTTTGTGTAATCGGGCATTACTGATAAAAACATTTATTTTCAATCTACTATAATTGTAAATTAATGTACATTGATTATATCACTATTCTTCTATCAAATATTCAAATCCCATCTGGTTCTTATGACTTGCGAATAACACCAAAGTGCTTGCTGTTGTCAAATCCATCGATGACATTTTAGCTTTTACTATATTCTCATATATTATTATTACTCACATTCATACTATTACAGTACATAAATACATACACTTTCTTATTATATATATAATGATCAATCATCGTCTCTTTTTCGTCACGGTTTCAAAATTTAGTCTATAATTGGGTCTTTCCAATCGTATAAGCATATGCCATTATCATGTAACTGGTTTCAGCTATGGTTAATCATTAGTGCTATAGTTGCATCAAACTATAAAATCGATAGAGCCACAATAAGAAACCAATTTCATACTAAATTATTTGTTCTTGAGGTGCGGTTTAATCAAAGAGAAAATCTTATGTGTTTTTAAATAAACCAAACACTTCTTAACCGAGCTACACTTAGAGATTTTGATTAAAAAAAACAAATCTTATACATTTCTTTATTAATTGAACCAAAAGGCTACACTTAGAGATTTGAAAAAGCTGTGAAAATAAAAATGATAAATGTTGCAAAGAAGCTTGAGGATTACAGTTCCAGTATAAGCATAATGAGAGTACTATACATAAATATATTATGTGCGCCCGTTTTGTGTATGACGCATTATGTTAGTGGGAGGAGACAAAAAGGAATGAGTGAGTCTCAAGATTGTTGTGTGATTAGAAAGAGCTATTTACAAGTTAAAAATTCACATGTGACTTCTACAATTTAGTTATATTATTACAAGTTTACTTCGGTCCACTTTAGGCATGTGGTTCATATTCTCGTATGGCATCTGCTTCGCTGCTAAAAGAAAGTATTTGTCGACTAACCATATCATCACGATAGTTTTTCTACATTCACCGCCGATGATCATAAATAACCTTTCAGTAGATTACGATTTTAGAAATTGCTAAGAGTACTTAGCTCTACTGGTAGTATAATCGCTTCTTCTAAGCATGCAACACCATCTATTTCTAAACACAACAAAAAAAAAAACTTATTTTCAATATTTTTCTTTTTAGTTCTCGTTTTTCATAACTATCACTCAAAATCAGCTAATGAGTGCATATAAGAGAAAAACATATAATTAATCAAGTAGTTTTGGTTTAGTGACTTAGTAACATCAATCGTTTTATATATCGTTTTTATTGTTAGATAATATAATCAATTGGTGATCATATAATTTATATAGCGACTACAACCTTAAATCTAATTAAACTCTGCCTAGAATGTTTAGTGGACCTTAGTGCAGTATTATTTATTTTTCCTTAGATAAGTTAAAATTTGGTATACATATGTTTTAATAGTTCTTATTAGTACTAGTGAATGTGATCATGTCGATCTTAAACTAACAACTAAGATATATATATAACTTAAACTTACTTTTCGGCACTCACGAGTTCAAACTATTTTTCTCGAGATTGATATTAGAGAAGATGGCGATTTTATCATTATCCCCATGCTAAGTGCAAGTGAATAATCTTTAGGACGGTGATTTACATATTGACTTGTTTGTTTAAGCTTATAATATGTAAAGATAAAGATAGTTACCTTGTTTCCAAAAAAAATTCTAAAGGAAAAATTTGTCAAGATAGATATAAATTTTATAACGAGAAAGATACACACAGATATTTAAGTTCTTAATCCATATATATTGAAGTTTCAGTTAAGTCGTTTGTCAACCTTTAAAAAATTAAATACACGTATTGATATCTAAATTCATATATACATATACATTATTGTTTAGACTTCACATGACACTCTAATAATTAAAATGAAAATACCAATAAAACCCATAGAAATCACAATGATTTAGTATCAAATGATCTTACAAAGAATTTGGACAAATATTGTTGTTACAACTCACAACTCACAAGGGTGTAAATGATCTCAAATGGTCCTACTAGAATCTTTCTTTTGCCTGTTACGCTAACCTCTCTGTCTTTGTCTCTCTCTCTCTCTCTCTCTTCAAGTCTTCATAAATAAAATGTCGAATTTTGATTAGTTAGTTATGAACACAGTTACTTGGTGAAAAAAAAAATAACGCATAAGTCACTTGATATTATTTCATCATAAATATGTTTGGATTTACTCTGCATTAAACGGTTAGCTATAGTATTGTCATCCTATTTATTCATTCTATGTTTTATTTGTTTTAAACCGGGCTCGTGACTTTGAACCCCTACTTACCCATAATCCAGAGCAGCAAGCGACTCCATACTACCTTTTGGGTATTAATTCTCGCTAGCAAAACTGTGAAATATATGTAAAAAGAGAGGGAAAAGATTAAAGTTTTTTACCAAATAAAAAAAGATTAAAGTTAGGGATAGGAGTTTTTTCACCGGCCAAAAAATTCAGGGAAAGGTGTATGGGACCCACTAAGGGATGATGAGTTCCGCCGCTTGATTAGTGACCGCCGGCCGACCCACCACCGTCCTACGTGGACATATCTTCTTCCCTCATATACTTTTATGTTCTCTATCTATTTATTTACCATTTACAAAGTACCATGTAATCATTTTTACCGTAGCCGCCGACACAAAAAAGAAGAGAAACAACAAAAAACAGTCTCACCTCAAACTATTACCTTTTTCGTATTAAAAAATAAAAATAATCTCGCCGTAATATTTAAGTGGCTCCGTCGGCAACAAATTGCCAATAGACCTGAAGTAGAAATAATTAGTTCATCTTCATAGGATCTTCTAAGAATATATATTGTTCGTATCTATTTACAAGCTATATTTATTTTTAATTTTTTTGAATGAATTTACAAGCTTTATTTCGAGATTTATCAAAATGACTTATGTCTGATTCTTTTAAAATGAATAAAGACATATACTCTTCCTAATGTAACAGCCCAACAGAATAACAGGATTATTCCTCACCTTTAAAAGAGGTTTCATAGCATGCGTTAAGATTTAAGAATTTATTTATTTATTTTTAAAAGCATGCGTCAACCTTAAAAAGAAAAGACTTATGTGCAGAGAAAACAAACAAAACAATTCTTCAATCCGAATATGAACTTGCAGTTGACACGTGCATGAAGCTCGATTGAGAGACACGTTGTCAACGTTCAAGAGTTCGTTTAGAAAAAGAAGAAAGATCATAAGGAACCTAAAGCCACTTACTAATTTATGGGAAACTAAGTGGTAAATCAAATCATAATTACCCTCCTGTAACTTTATATCATAATCAGCTCATCTATAACTCTTGTTGGGCCACGTATTTTAACTCTTAGAAATAAATCTTGTTTACTCTTTTGTTCACATATTAAAAAATAATTTTTTACCGCTATTTTTTCTTCTTGAAAATACTACATTATAAACTTTACATAAAAATATGAGT